TTTGTATGATTTAGACATTTTACGTTTGTTTGTTATTTTAAATTTAATCCGATCATCAGATAACATAAAAAGGCCAAGTTTTGGCTTTTATATAAGTACTAGAACATCTTAACTAATAATATTCTTATTTGTCAATTATATCCCTATCAAATTTATAGAATTCTATTTTTATCAAAACCTTTGCTTTATATATTTTTGTCTTTTTTTTTTTTTTTTTCATAGCCACAAAAATCAAAATCAACCATCAAATGCAATCAACTTGCTTGGAACAATTGATTAAATGTTCATATAACAATTGCAAGACCAAATTAAAAATTAACTCTTTCAAAGATCTAATTAATTTAGTTGTTTTTTATTTATTTTTTGTCATAATAAATTTTTACTTACTATATAAACACAATGTAATAACATAGTTATCATTAATATTTATATATTTATTTTGATTTTGATTTTTATAATTTGTAATAATATAGTTATCATGCATGTAAAAATTATAAGATTAACTTTATAAGGACATATGTGCCAAAACACCAATAAAAACAAACAATCCAACACTTATAATCAGATAAGAAAAAAAAAATAAACAAACATATCGATCAGACTTATACATTCAGACATATTCAACAATCAGATTCAATCAGCTTTCAAACAAAAAAAAAAAAAAAAACACCACCTTAGTTTGAGATTGTTGTAGCTTCTTCCTTAATCACTTTTAGCTCACCTTTATGAATAATCAACTCTTTAATAAAAGTTTTTAGGTGTTTTGTTATATTTTTGAGTTGCTTTTACTTTTGAAAAATGATATGTGAAAATGTAAAATGACCCAAACAGGCTTCTTTTATAATTTTTTTTATTTTTTATTTTTAAATATATTAAAAATAGAATTGTTAATTATAAAAAAAAAAAAAATTAATAACACTGTATAGCGTTGGAGAGTTGTCGGACAACAACCGAAAAACATTCGACTAATATTTTCTAGCCTGCTACTATGAAATGCTATAGTAAACGACCTATCTAATCAATCCATTGGGTATATCGACCAAAGGTCTATCTAGTGGAGTTGGAGATATTGTTAGATGCGCCATTGGCGACGGCGACTGCCATTTGGCCACCCTCTTGTAGTTGGACAGTATTTTCCGAATTTTGATTTATTTTATTATATTATTAGTTTTATTAAAGAATCATTTATAAAAACCAAGAATATTATTTTAGGGTGTTTTTTTTGTAATTAATCATATCAAAAGCAGCTTTTGAATTTTAAATGCTACAAAAACTTACTATTGGATTCCTTTTATAAAACAAATTATTTCATGATCAACTTATTGTATAACCACTATTGAAATTTGTTTACCAAACACTTTTTGGATGATAAATTATGAAATAAGTAATTATGGGAGAAGCTACAGCAACCCCGAAGGCCCAAACTCACCATGAGTCAAAAACTTGTAATGAAACCTGTAATTATAAGTAAACATTTTTTTATAAATAACACATTTTAAAGAAAAGGTAAATTTTTAAAATTTATTCCACAGTAATTATTTATAGTTTGGAAAATGTAAATAATTACTTTAGCTTTGGACATTGTTATTCAAATATTATTTTTGCTTAACATACTAATAATCAAAGAGTTATATGTTAGGAAACGACCCGTTAACGCAACGGAAAATAAAACAATAATTTTTAGGATCGTTCCCATTGAGCCAAGATCAAGGGTATAATTTTACAATTTATATTAAAGTAAAATCTGCAGAAAAATTAATCAAGAGTTTAGAATAACATACGCACGTTTGGAGGCTCATCTAAAATAGTCTTTGTACGTATTTGCTACCGATCCAAGTGTAAGATCGAACTTATAAAATCCACACGAAGACAATCCCGAAGAACTAAGGAGAGATTTGTCAGATCCTCCTTAGCTTTAAAATTAAAGAAGAAAAGGAAGAATTGATTTCAAGCAAAAACCAAGTCTGCTGTGGGAGAGGCTGTGTTTCTCTTTTACAAAGGAAAAAGTGAATAATGAAAAATCACCCACTTTTACAATTAAAGTTTTTCTTTTATATTAAAACTTTAGTTGCCCTATTCCTATATGGAATAGACTTGGGCTCCAACCCAAACACCCCATGTTACCAAACACTCTCAATTAGATATTTTATATTTATTTAATCATTTTTGCAATTAAAATCAATTAATATATATTTAATATATATATATATATATATTAACATTTAACAATAATAATGATTTAATTAAATATATGCGAACACATATTCAAACGTAAGTTCACTTATTTAATTTTTCTAATAAATTAAATAAAGGCTACGACCTCAGCAAATTTAATTGCACTGTGAAATTACCAAAATACTCTTTCGCCTAAAAAGACGAAAACGTCATTCTTTCTTCTTGAGTCTTAAATTATCTTCTATGTATGTGACTCATAGGCTCCTCATCATACCGACAGTGTATAGTATTGCGATTAACACCAATTAATCGTCTCACTAATACACAGACCAAGATTTGCCCCTAGCAAGGCATCATGGCCACCCGATAGATTCGGATTCAGCAAAGTAGCTACCTGTCAACGATATGGTTATCGTACAATTCGACCCTTTCATCATCCGTTATCTCGACGAGACGAAGACATAGAAATAGTGTTAACCTTCGGTTACTCTCGATATTATGTATTCAGTTTCTGGACCAATGACCTGTATTATAAACTGGATAGAGCAACAACTCAATCCCACTGTGGCCACAGTTTTAGTGTCATTGCCATATACTGAATTGCGCCGTGAGATAACTTTTTCCCGTACCCGGGAGTGATAAATCCTCTGTCAATCCACCATAGTCTTGATACACTCCTTGATGCAGCCAATCACCACCGTATTGACAGCTCTGAAAAGAACTGCGTTAGGCTAGTGTCAAACTACACCAATCGGTGCACAAGGCGCTCCGGTGATCTCAAGTCTAAGGATCACATGCACCACCATTCGTTAGAGGATTTGTTCCATAGACACTGGGGTTACCATCCATATGGAATCCTCTGGTGGGTCAGTCCAGTGAACTTGCTGTGGTGTAATCGCCTACAACAAACACCCATGTGTTGCACCAGGTTGTCACCAAACAACCTTGACAAGTGAGATCAGTCACTGCCTTTCGACAGGGTCGTTGAACACTATGATAGCCTTACCGTATTATCTGTGCCCTTACTTCAGAATAATACTGGAGCTACGGACGTTTCTAGAATGGCCACCATATGTGCTCATAGGGTTCTCACTATCAAGATTTGAAACACTTGATACCCTCATCACGGTTCTACCATTCTAAGGACATATATCAATACATATTGCAATAATAATAATTTACGCGATGTAGTATAAAATGCATTTTATTGATTAATGAATATTATTACAAAGAGTCAATTCCACAATAATTGATTGGCTCTAGGGTACCTACTCTAACATTATACTCCCTCCATTTCCAAATAAATGTCATTTTAAATTTATTACTTTTTTTCCAAAATAAATGTAAAAAAGTTGAGCAACCCTCTCTCTCTTTCTCGTTTTATGGCCCTTATCTCCTCTTTTTTGCTTTTCTCTGGTTCCTCGTCTCCTTTCTCACTCTCTCTCTCTAATTTTCAGATCTGGGACACTACTTATCAAGCGAGATTCAGAGCTGTTACATCTGCTTCCTATAGAGGTGTTGTTGGTGCACTCGTTGTTTATGAAATTATCAGAAGAAGTAGCTTTGATAACATCTAATGCTGGCTTGAAAAGCTTACTAGTAAGTAGCTATGATAGCATTTAATTCCTTGCCTCCACTGTTTTGTGCTCTGTTTGTTTGTGAAGTGCAATGTGTGCGAGAAAGAAAAAATAGCTTGCCTTTGTTCATCTGTGATGTTTTTCCGGCTCACATGTGTATTAACTTCCTCACCTATGTCATCAACTTCATTCATAGCTTCTAACGTTGGAAGAACATTCAAATCAATTTCCCTAAGCATATATCTTCTACTATGACATTGTTAAGCTATGGTGAGTAGTGAAAAAACATAAATGGAAGAGTAATACACTTCTAGCATTTTTACATAGGCTAGAAAAACCAAAAATTTTCTCACCACACTTTGAAAGGGAAGAGTAAATAAGAGATGGAGTAGAAGAAAATAAATTTGTTTACATTATAAAAATTAGTATATTAAAACGTGTGTAATTTGCTAAAATGACATATATGTTGAAACGGAGTGGGTATAATTTTAATTGAGTAATACTACCTTTATACCACCCTTTACACAATTTTTATTACACTATAATCATTTTACTAATAATAATTCTATTATAATATTAAAAATTCAAAATAATTAAAAATTTGTGTAAATATGATATATGTCATATCATGATGTAATAAAAATATTGTAAAGGATAGTGTAAAGATAGCTTTACCCATTTTAATTTAAACTTGTGAAACATCAAATGATATATCGACGACATAAAAGTTGTATTAAAATGTTAAATAAAAATTTTAATTTAATAGTGGCCCGATGATTGAGCATCAAAATGAAACTGGGTTAAGTATTGTAGTCCTCATGGTTGGGTTCGGGTTAAAGAGTTTAAGCTCATTTGGAGCCCATGTTTGCCGCTGCCAAATTCTGAGCGCGAAACTGCGAGCCAACTAAATGTAATTTCAATTTTTTCAGTTTCTAAAACCTGCCAAGTCAGCAATCCGAGTGCATCAAAATCACCATTCCTAACCATTCATTCAAACTTAATCGACGGCTGAAACCCCACCAAAACTAAATGACACAGATAGCTATTATCACCCGTAGATAAGACTCGATCCAACAGTCCAGATCTCATATTTCACATTTCACTTAAACAAAAACAAATGACGCGGATCGCCATTTTGAACCGTACATAGACACTAAATCCAACGGTCCAAATATCCACTCTCACTTCACCCAAAAAAACACAAACTGATCTAAGCCTTCACTCTCCCTATATAAAAAGCACAGCCTCCACATCATCAACCCATTGCCTTAACGCAAAAAGAAAAAATATCAAATTACTTCGAAATCCCTAATTTTCTTTGACACTTTCTCGAGAAAATGTCTGGTCGTGGAAAGGGAGGCAAGGGTTTGGGAAAGGGAGGAGCCAAGAGGCACAGGAAGGTCTTGCGTGACAATATTCAGGGCATCACTAAGCCGGCCATTCGGCGTTTGGCCAGGAGAGGTGGTGTGAAGAGAATCAGTGGTCTGATCTACGAGGAGACTCGTGGAGTCCTCAAGATCTTCTTGGAAAATGTCATCCGTGATGCCGTTACATACACCGAGCACGCTAGGCGCAAAACGGTTACAGCCATGGACGTTGTCTACGCTCTCAAGAGGCAGGGTAGGACTCTCTACGGCTTCGGTGGTTAAATTGGCGGTGTCTGGATTGCGCTAGGGTTTTGTAAATCTGGTGGTGTAGTGGCTTTAATTAAGGTTAATTTCGATTTTTGTGTTAGGGTTTCGTTCAGCTATTAAAAGTGTATTGTGTTTTCTATTTGGAATGAAAATGCACTTGTTTTCTCCAAAAAAAAGTTCTGTAGAATTATATTTTTAATTGGGAATTTGTGTTTTGATCCATGAAATTATTGCAGTTTCGACTTAAGCTAGTAACTTGAGCAATCCGGGATTACTTATGTTGAAATTTCTAATCCTGGTTGTAACGCTTAATGCTACCTTGTTTAGTGGGCGGCCAAAAAATTCAGCTCAGTTTGGGCTGGTTGCTATTTTGGCCATATTTCATCTTTGGCACGGGCTTTATGGTTCAAACCTTATGTACTGAGTTTAATGTTAAAATATGAAAACCTTATATAACATATATTCTAAAATGAACTAACTTGAATATTGTAAAAGGATGCGCCGCATAAGCCAATTGATAGTCCATGTCAAGTGAGGCTGAATTAGGTTTAAGGCCCTCAATTGAGCAAAGAACCAACCCATAATTAAGTGACCGAGTTAGATAACTTTAGATTTCAGGCTCTTTATTGCGCGAGGAGCCCTTTTTAAAGCCCAAAATCGATAGTTTAAGCAATTTCAACGGGTAAGAGAAATGGCAAAGAACTTTTAAATAATATGAAAATGTGAACTTATAAAATGTGAAGAAACTTTAAAATGTGAAGAAACTTCTTGCATTGGTATGAAATTAGTATTGAAGATTTATCAAGTGAACTAATATTGGAATAACCAAATTTCGTTGCACATTTACTTAAATTAAGTCAATTCAATCATCTCAGACATCTCGGACTCCAGTCAAGAGCAAAGGTTGAAAAAATTCGTGACCATAAACCCAATTACATAAAAGAACTACAGAGGTTAGTGATTAAACTACCTTAATCATATCTCACCTTGTTCAAGAACAAGGACAAGCCCAGGGGATATAGAATCGACTGATGATTACGCCAAAAATGGTTACTGTTTTTGCAGCTCTAATTCTGTATCTTACTGCTACAGCTGAGAAGGGTGAGGCAGGAAGAAAAGAAAAAAAAATAAAATAACACAACCAAGACAAATTTTCAACAGTACAAACAGTTGATGTCCATTATAACCCAGGTACGAAAGAAAAAAGAAAACTGCCGAAGCCCACGCCTGGAAAAAACTCGAGGCAGACTACTATTACTGTGTTTCTATCTATATAAGGAAGCATGCTGAGAAACATTACATATACTTGGTTTTAGGCATCACCACTCCACACACGCAATATGCTGCTACTGGAGATGCCTTAACAAGCAAATGGAGGAAGAACTCAGTGAACATTGTGTCTTGTTACTGAGTTGGGCTTCTTCTTGTACTTTTAAATAATATCGCGAACTCACTGAACCATTGCATCTGATTGCTTTGCTGAACCATGGTACTTTTCCAAATCAGCATCAAGATCTTCTACAGAAAATGGCGTCTTTTCACTTTGACCTCTACCCCGGCCACGACCTCTACTAACTCCACGTCCACCACGACGAGGCCCTCCCATGGCACCACCTCTTCTTTGGCGGCTGTTACAAAATAAAATGAAATAATACATTAATGCCAAGTAAAAGAAAAAGAAATTACAAATTTTAGTTTCTGATACAGCATTTAAATAAAAGAAAAAGAACAATGGTCTAAAATCACAACTCATAGTAAATTTACATTCTAAGTAAATGTAGTAGATCAACAACCCTGGTTTCACAAACTATCTAACATGGATTTGACAGATCTGAGTACACAAGTTGGAACACAATGTTCTATTTATCATAAGTTAATCAAGTAAACATCAATAACAACTCAAACCTATCCTAGACTCTTTCTCTCATTACAAATAACAAAAACACTTTTTTTTTTTCCTTGAACCTAAAAAATCCTCAACCTTCCCATGTGTTCATTGAATTCTAGATTGGGGCTATTTTTTGATCCTACAACCTTGGTAGCCAAACTTGTTTGACATAATATCTTAATAGGTGTCTTCAAGATAGTTTGAACCCTTATCCCCTTGGTTGAGTCAATGACATTTAGTTTCAGTGGGATAAAACAAAAAATATGCTTAGTGCATTGAGAAACAAATTCTGATACTGGTGAAAAACTCAGTAACGCGAGCATTGTAGGTGATTAAGTGAGAAGCAACTTAGGAGCAAAGCAACTTTACAGCCTAAGTCTCGTGAATAGTTTAGTCAAATGCTTACCTTCTAAAACCACCATTTTGATTGTCATACATGCCATTCGTAGATGGAGGTGCAGCAGCAGAAGCAGCAATATTTCTTCCGACAATCTCAAGTTTCATTGGTTTTCCATCTAATTGGACATTGTCGTATCTCTTGACGGCTGCCAAGGCATCTGCTCGTCGTGAAAAGACAACTTCTGCGGTTCCCTGTGAGAGAGAATTATTCTTGTAAGTACAACAGCACATAAGCAATTATTGGACAGAGATAATGCCAAACTTCACAGAGCACCTTTGATCTTCCACTTCGGTCAAAATGAACTGCATATCGCTTAAGATCACCAACCTCGGAAAAGAGATCCTGCACAGAAATAAATTTAAAATTCAGAAATCAGCTTCATACTATCCTGCACATATTTTGTGGCCATATATGTAATCATTTAGTCCTCTTAAATAAATCAAAAGCCTTGGGCAGAAAGACAAACTAAACAATGGGAACAAAAAATCAAAGTAAGCTTGCCATTGTTCCCAACAGACACTATAAAAGAAACAAAACCTTTTAAATAATTCAATTTTACTTTTCATTTTCACAGACAATATGAAATTGCCTCCCTTATGAAGGAATGATAGTTGCATGAAAGAAAGGTACAATAGAATTTTGAAATCAGTCATAAGAAACAGAGAAAGGAAACAAACTCTCTAATTCTAATATCATTCAGTGCCTGGAACAAATGGTAAGAATAATCAATTTCATGGTCTCTTATTTCATCTGAAAAGTTAATTGTCTAATAATAACATAAATAGGTCACAGTTTCAGTAGTTCGTCTCCAAGACCTCATTATTGAACCTAAATGCTATTTCCATCATCAAATACAGAAACTTCAACATGAGATTAAGAAAAATCAAGGACAACTTGTCAACCATTAAATGAACCATAAAGTAGTTCTCTACTGACTTTTTCCCTCTTACTTTTATTTTCACATATTTGAAATCTTTCACTAGCTGACAAAGTCCTACTACTATTAATTAGTAACAATTGATGAGTGAACTTTCACTATGATGATATTTGCTGAGTGAGAGATTGAATGAGATTTTAGTAATTTGGAAACAAGAAGGGGAAAACACATAACAAACTAAGAGGTTTCAAGAAAAAGAGTTAAGGTAGGGTAAAAGAAAGCAAATAGCTCTTAACTCAAAACAAAATTCACCATCATCCTTCCATTGGAACTTTCCATAAACTTGTTTCTGACCCTAAACAGTTCAGTAGAATTAAAAAAAAAAAAAAAAAAATCCTTTACAAAGCAATCACATCTTCTATTAGAACTTTCCATAAACTTGTTTCTGATCCTAAACAGTTCAGCAGAATAAAAAAAGAAAAAAAAAAAAAGAAAAAAAAAAAAATCCTCTACAAAGCAATCAAGGTGAGATCCATTTCCTTTCCTTTCTTCGTTCTCATTTTAAATTATAGTCCCTATTCGCCAAAAGGATAATTCAATCAATTCAGCTTATCAGATTACATCAAAAGTTTAATAATATCAAATAGGTTATATTATCCACAGGGTATTTATATTTGTAGGAGAGCAAGCTATTTACTCCAAAAGACTATCATCTAACAAATGGTATTTAAAAAAACCCCAAACATTGCTATATAATGGACTTAGCTATACTAACAAAAAGGTCAATTTCGCCTCTCCACTAAAAATCTAGTCCAAGTGGGAGAATGTGGTGATATGGAGTCCCACATGGATAATAAAGAGGCGATCTTGGTCTTTATGAAGAGAAATGACCACTTTTGTTGTGCAAAACACCATAATAAAATAATATTGTAATTAAATTGATCAAATAACTCAAATAAAAGATAAGCAGAATTAGAGAGAAAAAGAAAACACATGAATCAGAATTTACAGGGTTGGCAAAAGTACCTCAGTCCTAGAGCGACAAAGATCAATACACTATTGTCAACTGAAAAAACAGTAAAGTTTAGGATATCTCAGACGCTTGCAAAAGTGTATTACCAACTACTGGTGCTAGTGAGATAAAGCCCTACAGTTGCTTTGTCAACCATACAAGACTACAAAAAGGTTGCTTCAAAACTTGGATTTGTAGAAGAGGACAATTAGTGTGTATTGAAACAGTCAAAGTGTTATTCAATTTAAAGTTTGGTTTCATTTGGTGTGGGTATGTTATTGATACAGATAAGATAGTTCTTCCAAATATTGTGACGGCCGATGATCCAACAAATATGTTGACACGGTAGTCACAACGATAAAGCTCACATATCATCTAGACTTGATCAATATTCTAAAAGCTTGACACCTTCAGATTTATGGCACCAGTGGGCAATTTGGAGAGAAGTAGTGATGATAAATTTACTTTTGGTTGGTGTAAAAGAATATTTGAATCTAGAAATCATATTTGGATGCTAATACAGCCAAAGTGGAGTTTTTTTGGTATAGCTCAATTAGTTTGGTTAGTCATTTTACACTTATCTCATAAGTGAAATATAAATAGTGTGTTTATGAAGCCAATAAATAGTGACCTTTTTCAATATTCATTACTTAAAAATGAATTAAGGCTTTTGTGGGCTCTATAAAGGAAGACCTCCTAGGTAGCTTTAGTTACAAACAACATATTGCTTTCGCAAATTTTTGTAAATTGCAAACTCAACAATTCCCTTAATTAAATATTAGTGGACAGATCGCTGCTGCCTGAAGAGAAGAGAACTTTTGTTAAACCTCATAAATTCATTTGTTATTTTTTTTCTCTCATTTTCCTCTTTTTTTTGCATCCTTGGGTTATTTATTACATTCAATTACAATATCAATTTACTTGTGGGTTTTGCACAACAATACAAAAGTAGATAAGAGGGTCTAAAATTTTCCTTGTATAACTAAAGGAAAAAAACTTGTGGAGATCTTGACAATATCAATTTCTCATAGAGCCCACTTTCTGAATTTCTTCACAAGAGAGATTTGGGGAGATATAAACTAAATTATAACTCTATCATCACAAATTTCCAAGATACTAAACATATATTCATAGGGAGAACAGTAAACTCCAAGCATTGTCAACCTTCATTCACTCCTAGCGACTCTAGCAACTTCTCTTTTATCACCTCTGCTCTCACTAAAATTTATGCAACATTAAGAACGTTTTCAATTCAATTAATCAAACTTATGCCAAAAGTATTTTAAATTATCAAGAACTTAATTAAAATAGAAAACGCCAAACATGATTCACATTTTTCGAAAAAACTATAAATAAGAAATCTAACCTTAATGTCTCCATTAGAAACTCCATAATCCAAATTGGAAACATAAATTTTAGTGCCAGTTTCTATGGACGAAGCTCGAGTTGCCCCCGCCCTTGCCTTCGCCTGTGCAGCGCCCGTGAACATGTCGTGTTGCCACGTGGTGACCGGAGCTTGACCCGGCTATAACAAAAAACATTTCTTTTAAGTCAAATCGACATAGACACATCCAGAATCAAAGTAATTTCGCAAACGACAGCGTTGAAATTGTCCAAGAAAGTAGTGACCTTGGGATACGGCGCCGTCCGATTGGCGCCACGCTTGAAGGAGCGACGCGCCGGCCCTAGGCCGGAGCCGCGGCCGCAGCCGCGGCCGCCTCTGCCTCGGGAATTGGGGCCGCCGGATTTTTTGTTGGACTTGATAATATCGTCGAGAGACATATCCAAGGCGCTCGTCATCTTCGAATAAACCCTAACTGCGAATTAATTTGAGTGGTGAAGGTGGTGGGTTAGGGCTAAGAGGCGCTGGGTTTTGAGGAATTAAGCTAGGGTTTTGCCGAAAAGAAAAGGGAGGAAAAATAAAAGGATGACGTACAAATTAGATGCGATATGATTTAGTGAAATGATTTATATATATATTGGGAGCTTCAAATGCCAACGGTGTCGTGGTGTAGTAGGTTATCACGTCAGTCTAACACACTGAAGGTCTCCGGTTCGAGTCCGGGCGACGCCATGTTTGTGTTTTTATCGGTCCATAATGTTATAGGCCCAAATTTTTATGGGCTTTAGACATGGCAAATTGGCAATGTAGTTATGGGCCAATTCTCACTGAACTTTTAGGTCCATATTTATTAGAGGTGAGTGGTTCCGGATACCCTGTATTTTACGGGAGAATCGGAACCTAAAATACAGGTTTCGGTTCTTTTTCTGGGTACCCTATAAAAAATCAATTACCCTCCTATTAGTTTAAAAAATAATAAAAATACTTTAAAAGTTTACAAATACACTTCTAACAAATTTTGATTATTCATTCATTTGTGTCTAATGTAACTCATAACCTGTAATCTCTAGGCAACACTTGAATTCAATCAATTCATCATAATTCACGTAAAATTCGTCAATAAAAAAAACATAAACAATTATTCATCACAATTCACATCAAATAACTTCACCAATAATTATAATGTAATGTTATAATTAATTAAGTTATCATACTATAATGTAATGTTATAAATACTTATAATTATTTAAGTAGTTATCTAACAATAATGTAATGTTACAATCAATTAAATTTCTAATAATTTAATTAATTACTTATGTTTAATGTTTATAATATAATCTCATAATTAATTAAATAATCATTTAATTGTGTAATGTTATAATTAATTAAGTGATTATACTACAACGTAAATTGTAATGTTATAATTAATTAAGTAATATACTATTTAATTATAATATAATATTATAATTAATTAAATTGTTAATCATTTAATTAAGTATTGTAATATTGTTTATAATAGAATGTTATAATTAATTAAGTAATCATACTATAAGTTTATAATGTAATGTTATAATTAATAAAATTCTAATCATTTAATTAAGTATTGTGTAAATTAGTAAATTATAATGTTATAATATAATGTCATAATCAATTAAGTAACATTTAATATTTTAATTTGTAATGTTATATTAATTATAAGATCATACTTAATGTATAATGTATGTTAATATATTATAATGAATAAGTAATCATCCTAAAATCTATAATTTAATATTATAATTAATTAAATTTTTAATCATTTAATTAATATACAATGTTTATAATAGAATGTTATAATTGATTAGTAATCATATATAAATAATAAGGTAATGTTATAATTAATTAAATTTTTAATCGTTAATTAAGTAATGTAATAATATAGTAATTACTAATATTATAATATAATATTATAAATTCATAACTAATTATGTAATCATTATACTATGTAATGCTATTAAGTAAGTGATCATAATATAATATAAATAATAATGATATTTAATTGAGTAATTATTAACTATATAATATTTAATTAATTAAATTTCTAATCATTTAATTAAGTAATAATTTGTTTATAATGTAATGTTATAATTAATGTATAATATAATGTCATAGTCAATTAAATAATCATCTAATGTATGTTATAATTAATTTACAATCAATTAATCATATTATAATGAAATATTGAAATGTTACAATGAATTAAGTAATCATACAATAAATTCAATATAATATTATAATAATTTGTTTATAATAGAATATTATAATTAATTAAGTAATCATTTAATTATAATGTAATTAGAGTTGGGCATTTGGGACGGGCCCAAAAGCCCAGCTCCAAAACTCGGTCCTAGGACCGGTCCTTGGAGGACGGACCTAGGAGGCCTGGTCCCAAAACGGGACCAGGCATAGGAGGAGGGCCTGGGCCCAATTTTTTTTTGTATTTTTTCAATATAATCCCCTGCCAAATAAATAAAAACCCTTGTTAATTTAAAAAAATATAAATTATGAGGGCTAAAAAAATTTTACAAAATTTATTAAAAAAAAAAATCTTCCAGGTCTAAAAAATTTATAAATTTTACCCCAAAAAAAATATTAAAAACCCCCTAAAATTTTGTTTTAGCCCCAAATGTAAAAAAAAATTGAGAGGGGAAAATAAAATTATCCAAGCCCCATGGGACCAGTCCGACCAGGCCTAAGGCCTGGTCTGGGTCCTGGTTTTTCTATGGGCCTGGGACGGGTCCTAGGCCATGAGTGACTGGTCCCATTGGGACCAGTCCCAAACGGGCCCAGGCTTGGGCCCGCAAGGGATCGGCTTGCCCACCTCTAAATGTAATGTTACAATTAATTACATAATCGTACTATAAATTTATAATGTAATGTTGTAATTAATTAAATTTCTAATAATTTAATAAGTATTACGCTAAATTGCTAATATTTATATAGTAAATTAGTAGTTACTAATATTATAATATAATGTCATAATCAATTAAGTAACCATTTATTATGTAATGCACTAATGCGGTGATGTTATAATTAATTATATAATCATACTATAATGTAATGTTATAGGGAATTAAGTAATCATATTATAAATCTTTAATGTAATATTATAATTAATTAAATTTGTAATCATTTAATTAAGTTTTTACTAATGTTATAATGAATGCTATAATTGATTAAGTAATAATACTATAAATCTAAATGTAATGCTATAATTAATTAAATTTATAATTATTTAATAAGTAATATTATAAAATTAAATAATTAAAGTAATCATTTAACTATATGTATATTATAAACTTATAATTGATTAAGTATGATATTTAACTAGTAAATAAATTATTAATGTTTATTAATCTATCATAATAATTAATTAATTGTTAATTTACTATAGATATACTTAGAACTTGATAATTGAAGTAAATAACAAATATATTATTATTCAATCAAATATACTTTTTATTCAAAAACAGTTCTTTTAATAACATTAAAAATTTAAAACACTTTAATGGATCATAATTCTAATTGTTCACTTAATTAATGAAAACTTTATATAATATTATAATATATTAAATTTTTAATATAGTGTAATTATGTAATAAGTATAATTGTATTAGTATATTTATTTAATTAAGTTATTCTAAAAATTAATTTTTCTATTTAAAATTTTTATATGTAAAATAATAGAAACCCCATTATTCACATTTCATAAATATTTCATTGCAGTCCAGGTTCCAAAACAGATTCCAAAACATGTTTCAAATAGGTTCCAAAACAGGTTCCAAACAGATTCCAAAATCGGTTCCAAACCGGGTACCCGTTACAGATTCCAAACAGGGTACCTTTTAAGTTTTTTTTTTCAGGTTTCGGTTCTGGTTCCTCTACACACAAGAATCAGAACCAGAACCAGAACCAGACCGGAACCGTACAGTGTCGGTTCCAAAAAATTGGAACCAGAACCTACCCGCACAGTACCGATTTTGGGTCTGATTCTACCCGCAGGTGGTTTTACCCGCTATCCGTGCTCACCCAGTTATTTATGTACTTTAGACATGGCTTTTAGGTCCATATTTATGTGGTTTAGACATGGCTTTACAGTTTAGGTCTAATTGTTAAAATGGAAATAGTCTTCGAAAGGACATTAAAGTGGAGTTAAAAGTAACAGCTCAACAAACAGATTTACTTGATTATGTCGATGTTGGTAATTTTTCTTGCCAATTTTCTTAGTTATTTATATTGTACATACATTAAAATTCGTGTCAGTTTTTGTTGATGCTCATTTATGGCATCAACCAATTCTCCGTGGATATTGCTATTTGATGAATTAAAACACGTGATGATGGATGCATGAAGTGAAATAAATGCAAAGAAGACTTTAAAGTGGTTCGGATGCTAAGGTAGCAAGTCCTACGTCCACTGGTTTGTATGATATTAGTGTGTGTCAGGTCGCGAGGGGACTGACGTACAAAAGGTAAGAAAAAAGTGTTTCTTTACAATAGAGAGAGAGTCGTTCCTGTAAAAAATGGCCGAATCCCCTTATATGAGGGTCTTTCGTTTTATATCAAATTGAAACGTGTAACATCATTAAATCCATGGGTTGGTGTGATTGTCAGGATGTAAAGGCTTTACGTCCCATTTTCCTTTTCCAAGCTGACTTCGCACGATGCTGCAGAGGAATGGACGCGTGTGAGCTCCATATTATTTTGCAGGTCTGACGTGTGCGTGTTGCCTGACGGGAGCAGGTCACCGTAACATGACTTTCCACGTCAGCCCTTTATTTCCCGGGTAAAAAGAACCCCCTAGTTTTTAAGGTTGAGGAACGAGCCTTGAAAACTAAGTCACACTGGAGGCTTTGGTCGCTCTGACCTGGATGGGGTGAGCTCGACTCACGACTCGCAGCGAACACGATCTCGCGCGATCCCTTGCCTAAACGACCTGACAATCTTCATCCTAGCGACCTGGACTCGACGGACGCTCCTTTCTGTACTGGAGGTTCAATGAACCTGGCTTTGCGCTGTCAGGCACTCTGCATGCGTTACAGCGCTTGTCAGACACATTAAATGCATGGTATGATGACCCGACGCCGTTTTGACAGCGTGACGTTTAACCCATTTGAAACGATAGCCCTTATTACTGCATTTAATGCGACGTGGGGTTTGAAATGGCGCCCCTTTTACGGCATTTAATGCGACGTGGGGCGCATTTAATGCGGAGGGAGAGAGAACTGCCGTTTCGGTTCGCGGGGTGGTAACCGCGATTCGCAATCCATATAAAAACTTTGTATTCTTCAGATGAGGTCACCGAAATTTCTTTCGCTTCGAGTGACAAACTTTGGCAAACCAAGAATCATTTTCTCCACATCGGCGCTTTTCAGGCAACGGAACGAGTTTCGGCCCCAGCTCCATACCACAGAGAAGGTTCTTCCTTTTTTCATTTTGCATTGGTTTGGTTGAACCACGGCGTTGGGTCTTCCGGTGTTTACCGGAGTCGCGACGCCGTTATGGATTCGAGCCGTGGATGGCGGGTGAATCACCATAGGTTTTAAGTATTTGTCCCTTGCC